ATAACTCCTCTTCTGGTCCTACTCGACCTGCTAGAGCCCTCTGTATCAACCAGGAGGGTCCCATGGAGGACAGATCCAGTATACGCCACCTCTGACAACCGCCAACATCACAGGCAAAAGGTATGGCTCGAGGGTCACCCCACCGAGGGGCTGAGGGACACTGGCACTACCATTACTCTGGTTCAAAGCCACCTGGTGCCGAAACACATGCGATCAGGACAGACTGTGGCCGTTTGAGTGGGGGGGATGTGTATAAAATACCTACTGCTAAGGTACATCATGATTGGGGAGCGGGGAAAGGGACTGTGAACATGGGCATAATGGACAATTTACCAGCCGAAGTGTTACTGGGCAACGATTTGGGCCCCATGACTTCTGCCTATGCACCATCTTATAACTTTGATGCTCACCCAGTGACTACCCGAGCACAAGCCAGGACTCGGCAAGATCCCTCACCAGTGCGGGAGACACAGGTAATGCTCACCCCGACCTTGACTCCCCCTGTAGCCCCATTCCCTGTGACACCCCAGCCACTTTTGAGACCGAGTCCAGGTCTGACCCGACCCTACAAAAGTATAGGGAGAAAGCAGAAACGGGAGGGGGTGGGCTAGATAACAAAACTTTTATATGGGAAAGAGGGAAGCTGTATCGTCTGACTGAAAAGAAGGGACAACGTAGGCGACAACTAGTAGTACCCCATAAGTACAGACTAATGGGCTAATGGGGAAATATTAGATTGTGGAAAGGATTGTAATGGGAAGTGTATGTTACACCTCACCAAGAGATTGGGTACCATTGAATTACCCACTGCTACCCCCAAGGTTTCCATACTATACCGGGAGGTTAGGGAAGTATTGGTGGACTTCAGGGTGCTGGGATCTTTGCCGGGCTGGATCTCGGGAGTGCATGCGGTTTGGTGGGATTCAAGGAAGGTCATGGGTAGAGAACAGCATTTGACACTGGATGCGGGCACTGTGAGTGCCTTGTTGTGCCTTCTGGGCTGTGCAGTGCATCGACCGTGTTCCAGGATTTTATTGGTGATGTGCTCGGGGATTGTATCTATTCATTTGTCCTGGTTTATTTGGATGATGTCCTTGTTTATTCCCCTGACCTTCAAGCCCACCACAAACAGGTCAAGCAAGTATTGCAGACTTTACTGAAGGCAAACTTTATTGTAAATTGGAAAAATGCTTGTTTGATCAGACTGAAGTACAGTTTTTGGGGTATAACATTTCTGCCTCTGGTTTTCAGATGGACCCTAAGAGACTAGAGGCTGTTATACAGTGGCCAGTGCCTAGCAGACTAGGAGCCATCCAAGGATTTATTGGATTTGTGAACTATTGCAGAAGATTTATCAAGGAGTTTTCTTCTGTGGTAGCCCCCATCACCAATGTGACACGTAAGGGGGCTGGTAGTACGGTATGGTCTAAAGAAGCTAGAGAGGCTTTTGAACTTCATAAGCAAAGGTTTGCTTCTGCCGACATACTGAGACAACCTGACACCAGCAAACCCTTCATATTGGAAGTTAATGCCTCCGAGGCTGGGGTGGGGGCGGTTCTTTGGCAACAGAGAATTGTTGGCCATTGTCCTAGCATTTAAGAGTGGCGACATCTTTTGGAAGGTTCCAAGGATCCCCTTTTGATCATTATGGACCATAAGAATTTGGCTTATATAGGGGATGCTAAACGTCTATCTTCTAGACAGGCTAGATGGTCTTTGTTTCTGTCTCACTTTAACTTCCTTATAACTTACAGACCTGGTACCAAAAATGTGAAGGCTGATGCTTTGTCTGGACAGTTTGGTGCTGGGTCTTTGCAGGAACGCGGGACGTCCCCTGCCGTGCCTCCTGGATGTGTTGTCGCTTCTGCTGTTCTTTCGCTGTCTTCTCCCTTGCTTGGTGCTGTAATGGAGGCTCAGTCTCGGGCACCATGTAGTGAACCACTGGACAAGTTGTTTGTTCCATTGGGTGAAGGAAAGAATGTGCTGAGGGTGTTCCACGACAATGTGACTGTTGGACACCCAGGTGTCAATAAATCCATATCTTCGGTCGCAAGATCATTTTGGTGAGATTCCCTTGAAGACGGTGTAAGGGACTGTGTGTGGGCTTGTTTAGTTTGTGCTGTTTCTGAGGTCCTTGTGGTTTGTTGCAGCCACTTCCTGTGCCTAGTGTTCCTTGGTCCCACTTGTTCTGGGCTGTGCCGCTATTCTTGTGGTAGTTGACCGTTTCTCCGGGATGGTTCATTTTGTTCCACTTGGAGGCTTCCCATCCTCTCAGTACCTGATTCTTGTCTTTATATGTGGGGTTGTCTGACTGCATGGCATTCCTCACAATATTGTGTCTGATAGGGGCTCTCAGTTTGTGTCTAGGTTTTGGAGGGCATTCAGTAAACAGTTGGGCATTGAATTGTCTTTTTCATCCGCTTACCACCCCCAAACTAATGGCACGGCTGAGAGGGCTTACCAGTCATTAGAGTTATATCTGCGTTGTTTTGTAAATAGCACTCAAGATGATTGGTCCGAATTACTACCCTCGGCCGAGTTTGCTAGGAACAATGCTAATGCTACCCATGACTCTTCTGGTCACAGCCCATTCTTTGTTAATAACGGTCGTCATCCTACTGTCCTGCCGGCTGTTTTCTCCGAGACAACTATCCCTGCTTTGGATGATCGCCTTTCTTCTATCCGTGATACTTGGACCAAAGTTCATTCCACTCTCAAAACTGTGGTTGATCACTTCAAGTTCTATGCGGCTAAATGGCTGTGTGCCAACCCCGTTTACCAAGTGGGTGACAGGGTATGGTTATCATTGCGCAACATCAAATTGAAAGTTCCTAATATGAAGTTTGCACCTAGATTCCTGGGCCCCTTTTGTATCCTTTGAATGATTAACACTGTGTCATATTCTTTGGCCCTCCCGCCCTCATTACGTATTCCTTTCATGTATCTCTACTCAAACCTCTTGTTTGCAAAAAATATACTGTCTCAATTGTCCCTCCTCCTCCCTTAGTTGTTTCTGGACAGGAAGAGTATAAGGTGTCTTCCATAATTGATTCCAGGTTTTCTCAGGGCACTTTACAGTTCTTGGTGGATTGGAAAGGTTATGGACCAGCTGATCGTTCTTGGGTTCCAGCATCTGATATACATGCGGGCCCCAAGATTCGCTATTGCCCACCCATCTTCAGATGGGGGGTAATGTCACGTATTCATCCACATGTAAAAATGTGATTATTGACATTTGCTGTTCTGGCAGGGGGGGTTGTACCGAGCTGCAATCCAATCCACAGGAGGGTTTGTGCTGAGTGGCAATTATGCGTGTGGGAGCCTGGTGACTGCCTTTGTGGTCGGGGGCCGACTGCAATCTATCAGATCCGGGGGAGGGGTGTTTGGGCTCGGTTCTCATCCTGCTCAGTGCCCTGTCGTGGTTTCCCTGGTGGTTATCCAGGAGCGCGTTCCTGAATCGGGTTTCTTCTGGTTTTTGACTTTGGCTTTGATTTTTACTTCCCTGTGTTCTGGGGTCCCTAACTTCTGGCTTACCCTTGTCGTTGTGTCTCTTTCTGTGTTCCCTGGCCTCAGTGGGTGTCCTGACTCTTTGGTATGTTGGGTCTGGCCATTCTAGGGCCCGGTAGTACGTTGCCTGTCATCTGTGTGACACGATTCTACATGCTGGATCAACTAGTAATCCTGACAAGGAGATCCGCGGACGCCTATTCGAGTATTGGAGCGTGGTATATGGCTGTTACTTCTGAGGTGAGTTTTATGCCCAGGTAGTCGATGGCTGCCTCACATAAACGCAGGGGGAATTTTGCTTTTAGGCGATCCATATTAGGATCGCCTAATATTAGGTATATGGATCAGGAGGAGTTCCGATTTTGTGACATTTAGTTTTTACCCCGCGATAAGGGAATAGGAGTGAATCAGGCATATTCGATGGGCTGTGGAGGTGGCTGGGTTCATCAGGGTTAGTAAGATGTCGTCCGCGTATGCAGAGACTTTATAGGGCTGGTTCCCAATGTTAATGCCTTCTATGTCCTGGTTGAACCATATCACCTCCAGTATGGGTTCTAGGGATAGGGCACCCATTAGAGATGGTGAATTTGGGGGTGTTAATATTAGGGAGGAGGAGTGATCCCTGGGAGTGCTCATAGGTGGCTTCTTGGAATAGCAAGAATTGTGGTGGAAATCCGAATTGAGTGATTGTTTGAAATAGGAAGGGCCATACCAGGCGGTCAAATTCCTTTTCAGCGTCCAGGGATATTATTGTCGTGGGGAAATGTCTGTGACCAGCGTACCATATGAGGTCTATGGCTCTCCTAGTGTTGTCTGCAGCCTGTCTGTTTGGGACAAATCCCACCTGGTCTGGGTGGATTAGGGTGTTGAGAAGAGGGTTAATTCTGTTAGCCATTACCTTGGTCATTATTTTTAGGTCTATGTTTAGTAAGGATATGGGCCTGAAGTGACCTGGATCATCGTGTTGTTTACCAAGTTTTAGGAGAATGCAAATGTTGGCTGAAACCATGTCAGTCGGGAGTTTGTCCCCATGTAGCATTGCGTTGAATACCGCTCACAAAGTTGTTTAAGTAGGTGGTGGCTGAATGTTTTGTAGTATAGTGTCCCAAACCCTTACAGACCTGGGCTCTTGTTTGGCTGAAAGGAGTGAAGGGCAATAGCCATTTCGTCTACCGTCACATCCTCCGCTAGGACCTGGCTTGTCATCGTGGGCATTGTGGGGAGTTTCAGTATGTTCAGGAGTGTGTTCAGGAATGTCTTCGTGAGAGTGGGGATGTCTAAAGTCGCAGTCTGCTGTGATGTTGTGTGGTTAAAGAGTGTTTGATAGTATGTCTGGAATATGTCCCCTATTTGGTCTGGGAGGTCACAAATGTCCCGTTCGAGTTGCGGATAATGTTTATTATTATTCAATGTGTAAATATATATATATATATATAGAGAGAGAGAGAGATTACTTTAAAAATACATTTATAGAAAATAACAAATAAAAAGGTTCTTTAAAAAACAGAATAATAGAATATGGGTGGTGCAAAAAATATTTTTTGCACCACCCATATTCTATTATTCTGTTTTTTAAAGAACCTTTTTATTTGTTATTTTCTATAAATGTATTTTTAAAGTAATCTCTCTCTCTCTCTCTCTCTCTCTCTCTCTCTCTCTCTCTCTCTATATATATATATATATATATATATATATATATATATATATTTATACATTGAATAATAATAAACATCCCCTTTTTTTCACATCATTCACTGGATCCTGCAAATAATTCCAGGGAAGGGGCAGTGTCACCCCATAAATTGACACTAAGTCGGTATACTTAGAGCCAGATATCAAAAGGCTCTAAAAAAGGTGAGCACTTTAAATTTTTATATTTTAAATATTACCATCACTGGAGATACTACACTTAGTGCGATATATCTGTGTTTTCTATACGTGCCGTGGAGAGGAACACACCTTTACCTGGAGAGAGGGGTCGTGTGATCTACCCGAAAAGACACAAGACGCTTGGAAGTTTAGAGCCTATAAACTAGAAAAGGCTCTAAAAAATGTGAGTTTAGACACATCTGTCACTTACATATTGCTTTACCTCAATTTATAACATATTGCACTATTATCTGTATATTTGTATTTTTCTTTCTTTTTATGTATATACCATCTTGAGATCATTGTAGAGGGTAAGTGTTTTTTGAATTATTGAAAAACACATTTTCACCTCACATTATAATATAGCGCTGCACTCTTTAAAAACTGAGGACCTAATAGGTGGAAACACCAGTAAGGTCTTAAGTTTTTTTCTGTGTTCTTTGAAAATATGACTTCTAGCTATCTCCCGAACCACTGGACCAATTCTCACAAATTTTGGATATGTTGTTCCCATAGTTATGCTGGTTATAATGTAAATGTAAGTTTTATTAAGATTTGTGTATATTTTTAAAGTTATAACATTTTTATAAAAACTGTATCTTCCTGCCTGTGATAATTATGTTAACCCATTGTGTTCAGTAATTATATCACAGGCAGAGGGGAGGATTTTTGCTGGAATGAATGGGAGTGTTTAACTGTGTGTCGGTTTATGATTGGTTGTTCCACAAGGCTCATGTGGGTGGTAACCTTGTGGAGAAATGTGTATATAAGAGCAATAAAGCTTAGTGCATTCAGTTCCTGCTTAACTCTCAGTCTAGAGTCTTGGTTCTTATTGGGGGAATTGCTATATCACTACAAGGAAATGCTATGCTCTGCATACTCCCTTGGATAATCACTACTAAGCTCTTTTAAGAGCTTGTTCCTGCTTCACTCTCTTGGAGGAGAGGTTCACCCACTGGAACCTGGAGCCTTGTCATAGGTCCAGGGTGGGTAGGAGACGGCGATACCCCAACCAAGCTGTGGTGGTTCGTGGGGTCTGCGGTGGTTATGGTGTGTGGTGGAGTGCTTTTAGCCAGCCATCGGGAAGCATCCAGTAACGGAGGTACCCAGTCAGGGTTACACCATATGTGCTGGAGCTTCGGGACCGTATGGAGCAATTAGCTAGGACAGTCCAGGCTAACCTCTAGACGGCCCAGAGGCGACAAAAGGTATGATATGACAAGGGGGCCAGGCAACAGAGTTTTCACATAGGTCAGAAGGTTATGGTCCTTAAACCAGTCAGACAGGACAAGTCGCAGGCTTCCTGGCAGGAGCCGTACAAAATAATAGAAAAGCAGTGCGACACTACATATATCATTGCCTTTCATATCAATATGCTCAAGGAGTACTATGAGAGACCAGAGGACATGGCTGCTATATGTAGACCAGCACATGAGGACCCCGACAATCTCCCCATATCTGACCTCTTAGATAAAGGGTCCCACACTGACTTGTTAAGTCAGGTGCAACTAGGCGACAAACTTAGCCCCACTGAGAGAGACCAGTTGCACACCCTATTACAGAAAAGAGGTTCACATTCTCCCAAGATCCCAGTTACACTACCCTCACCACTCACCAGATAGATACCCCAAGACAGCAACCCCTACGGCAGTCTCCTTACCGTATCCCTGAGGCAGTTAGGGAAGAGATGCGGAAGGAGATAAATGAAATGCTAAAATTAGGAGTCATTGAGTCCTCCAACATTCCTTGGGCTTCCCCAGTTGTGTTAGTGTCCAAAAAGGATGACACCACCAGATTTTGTGTGGATTATCGTAAGCTTAACGATAAGACTGTGACAGACGCCTACCTGATGCCCAGAGTAGATAAGCTGCTGGATCGCATAGCCAGGGGACATTACTTAACTACCATTGACCTCTGTAAAGGTTACTGGCAGATTCCCCTGGCCAAGGAGGCTATCCCCAAGTCAGCCTTTGTCACCCCGTTTGGCCTGTATCAGTTTAAGGTCATGCCATTCGGGATGAAAAATACCCCATCCATGTTCCAGCGTTTGGTGGATAGGCTCCTTGATGGCTTCCAGGATTTTGCCTGTGCATACCTGGATGATATAACGATCTATAGTGAGTGCTGGGAGGACCATTTAGCTCCCAGACAGAGAAGTGTCATTTTGGAATGGCAGAGGTCCAGTACCTGGGACACAGGGTGGGGTGCGGCAAGCAACGACCTGAGCCAGCCAAAATAGAAGCTGTTACAAAAGCTCTACAGACTGTTACAATATTGCTCCTTTCTGTTTCCACACGGAACCTTGTTTCGGTATTTTAACTTTGTAGCCTAATCCCCAAACCGATTTCCTGTTACACATTCGTGTATACGAACAACGGACCACCTGGCCCCTGGCGTGTGCCGCCACTTAACCCCTGTCACCTTTCAAATACCCGAACAGCCGACCACCCTACGAGTGGAGCGTGCCTCTAATTAACCACCAAGGAATGAACGATGACCGACCACCCGGCATATGGAGTGTGCCGCCTATTAACTGACCAGAAGCTTCGGTTTGCCTTGTTGAACTTTTTCACCTTTCAATAACCGAACAACCTGCCGAACGACCGACCACCCTGGCGGAGGAGTATGCCCCTTAATAGCTGCGCAGAAGCTGCAGTTTGTTGTTAACCAAAGCTTAATTGACGAACGGCTGGGTGGTCGTCGTTCGTATGAACGAACACGTGGCAGCGGACATCTTTAACTGCCCAGCGAGGTTTTGTCGTCGACCTCATGGTACTGTTTTCGGTCACTTTTCTTCACGAACCCCACTGGGACCTCCAGACTTTCATCCGTTCGTGGGTTACCATATGAACACCGCGCCGTTCAGTACTTTTATACTCCCGAAGCTAGACCGGCCCTATGCCTGAAAACTGCAGAACTAATTCTGGGTTGACTTCTGCTGAATGGCTGGGGAGACAAACTTTAACCCATAGCAATCCCACTATATTCATGAGATCTGAGGGCTTTTTGACTTATTGTGTGCTCAGATCCAAGCTATTTGGGGATATGTTGGACATATAGGTTAAATATTGTATTATACGAGTTATGTATTTTTATGTGGTTTTTGCTACATGTTCAACTTTAGAATATTTCCTGTACCTGGAGATAATTAAGTTACTACAGCCTCTTAAACCAATTATCTCCAGGAGAGAGGGGAGGGTTCAGAAAGATGCACTTTATTCTGATTGGTTTATGTTCTCTGTATCACTGTGTTCCATCAGATCCAGAGGGGTGTGCCCCTGGCCTGAAAATGTGTATATAAGCAATGCCTTTCTGCTCAATAAACCAGACTTCTTACCCTCAACTCGCAGCCTTGACTCATGTTGTAGGGAATGCTAATCACTAGCTCTGCTTAGAGCTCCAGGAATACACTACACTTCCAGGAATATCGATAGGTGCTGAAGTGGAACTTTTCTTCACTCTCCAAGCTCGGGGACAAGGACATCCAAGCGGTCCAACCCTCAGCTAGCCTGGGGCAACAGTAATATGTAGTAAGTTCAGTTTCCAGGTCCAGGGTCGGGACAGCTTTAGGATGCGCAGAGTCAGGGTTATGTCTGCATGATCTGACCATGTGATTGTGCCGATGCTGGTTGTGGCTGACTGAGAGAGGACGTTCAGGGTCACCAAGAAGTGGTCTATTCAGGAATTAGTTGTGGGGGTGGGAGTAAAGTGTGAAATCTTTAGTGGACGGGTGTTGTGCCCACCATATGTCTGAGGTTTCGAGAGGAGAGGAACTGTTGGAACAGGGCGTCACCTCTGGATAGTCTAGCTGGGTCCTGTGTGTGGTGTGATCTGTCCAGGTGCGTGGAGTTGACCGCGTTGCACTCCCCCCCCTATAACTAAGCGGGTGTTAGCCAGAGTCGCAAGGTGCATGGAGAGCTGTTGCCAGAAGTTAGGGTCTGGATAGGTGGGTGCACCTATCTGGTAAGTTAGCTAAGTAGCTAGTTTTATAGGGAGTGCAACGCGGTCCACTCCACACACCTGGACAGATCACACCACACACAGGACCAAGCTAGACCATGCAGAGGTGACACCCTGTTCCAACAGTTCCTCTCCTCTCGAAACCTCGTAGACATATGGTGGGCACAACACCCGTCCAGGGCGTCACCTCTGGATGGTCTAGTTGGGTCCTGTGTGTGATGTGATCTGTCCAGGTGTGTGGAGTGGACCGCGTTGCACTTCCCCCCTATAACTAAGTGGGTGTTAGCCAGAGTCACAAGGTGCATGGAGAGCTGTTGCCAGAAGTTAGGTTGGATAAGTGGGTGCATAAATTGAGCAAAAGGAGTAACTGTTGGAGCCTATTTTCCCAGTAATAGTAATAAATCGTCCCAAAGGGTCGCCGGTCAAGGTGATGTCTGTCAGTGGGCAAGTGGTCTTTAGGATGATAGCTACTCCTTTCGTTTTGGTGTCTGGGAAGTTAGCTTAGTTTTATAGTAGTGATTGATGAGGGGAAATTGCAGGTGCTTGGTAAAATATGTTTCTTGCACTATGAGAATGTCCATGTGCTTTCTATGGGCCCACCTAAGGAGAGCATGCCTCTTGAGTGTGTTGAGGCCCTTTGCATTTATAGAAGTGCATTTATAGAAGTGGCATCCTGCATGGCTGTGTGGGTCTGTTGTCTCCGGAACACAGAGGAGGGCAGGTTAGGGTTAGGGGCCCTGCGACCCAGGTCA